ACACGATGGTTTTATAAACTGTGACATCTGCGGCTCACTGTGTATACAAGCTGTCATTTTATCTTTCCTTTTCTACAAGCAGCACTTTGAACAACCACAGCTTACAGCTGGCCATATTTCTTAACCACTTCAGCGCTAGAGCCATTTTTTCATTATTTTTTTTTTGCACACGTAAAAATCTGCATTTTTGGCTATAAATTAACTTAAACCCCAAGAACATTGTATTTTTCACAAAAAGCAGAGAATGTGTGGAATAATTATTATTATACAGCATTTATATAGTGCCAACAGGTTGCTCAGTGATTTACAATATAAAATATATAGTTGTGTTTTTGTTTTTTTTTTATTTGGCAAAATATTTGTGCAACTGTTTATTAAATGCATATTTTCAGGAAAATATATAATGAAATGTAGTGCAAATGTACACAATACAATGGCGAATTTTTGGGTAAAATCTAAAAGATGATGTTGCATCGAGTAAATAGATACAAAAACATGCCATGGCTTAAAATTATGTGTGCCCATTATATTGAAAAAAAAAACAATGGTACCCAAAAATCTCAATAGGCGACCCTGTAAAAGCCTTTACTGCGGATCAGTTTAGGACAAACTGTGAGCTTAGGCACTAGAATCATTGCTCTCACTCCGTCCTTTGTGGCAATACCTCACGTGTGGTGCAATCACATTTTACATACTTTTTTTGTTGTTTATAATATACTTTATTGATTTTTTATATAAATATATACTTTATTGTTTTAAAATTTAACTTTATCACTTTCATTGGTTAATGTCCCAGAATCTCCCCTGCTATCTAAAGCAGGGCGTAAAATTTCAAGTCCTGAGCTACTAGCCAGGCCTTAAGAGTTGCTCGCCACCAACAAACACACACAACACAGAGACAGCTGTACACACACACAGACATATACATACACACAGAAACATGTACACACACGCACAGTGACACTTGTACACAGAGACACACACACATGTACATACACACACAGACACATGTACACACACACAGACACATTTACACACACACACACACAGACAAATGTACAGATACACACATGTACATACACACAGACACATGTACATGCATACACAGACACACACAAACACACACACACATGTACACCTACACACACACCCCTATAAAAATTTGCAGTACTTCGTTGTTCACTCACAGAGCCAGGTACTGCACTCTAGGGGGAGGCAGAGAGCACAGCACAAACTCCTTGCTTTGCTTTCACTGCGCTCAGCTATTGAGCAGTCTGACGGCTCCCAGTGCCAATGACAGATCCGGCCTGAGCTCCGAGCCTGCTCAGCAAAACAGCCCTGGGGGACAAACTCGCCCCCACCATAATTTCCACTCGCCATTGGCGAGCAGGCGAGTGGAAATTTCAAGGCCTGCTCTAAAGCATCTAACCAAGCAGAGACTTACTCATTTAGGGCTCATGTACACGGGGCATTTGGAAAACTCTTCTGAACGATGGAAATTGACTGCTAGAAAATGTAGGTTAAAAAAACATCAGTTTAGCCATGTTTGCATACCGCGTTTATGTTTAGAAGCGTTTTTAAAAGATAACCTCAGGAGACCTTCCCAAATGCCCAGAATGCACTAAAAAATAGAATAGTAATTAACTATTTTGGACATTTTGAGAGAGATAGAGCAGAGAAGCAGAGAGATTACCTGCCTTTTCTGGTTGTATTCACTATGGATCCCATCATTTTAGTTATTTATTTCAGGTACTTATATAGCGCCGTCAATTTACGCAGCACTTTACATATATATTGTACATTCACATCAGTCCCTAACCCTCAAGGGGCGTACAATCTAAGGAAACCGGAGTACCCGAAGGAAACCCACACAGGCACAGGGAGAACATGCAAACTCCAGGCAGGTGGTGCCGTGGTTGGGATTCGAACCAACGACCCTAGTACTGCCAGGCGGAAGTGCTAACCATTTAGCCACTGTGCTGCCCATCATGAGCATAATGCAGCACATTCTACCATTTTTCCTTCATGCAAAACCTGGAACTGACTGCACTGGTGTACTAGGTCCACTTGAATACATGGAAAACGCTTTGCATGCATTTCTGATGATGAAAAAATGCTTGTAAACGCAAACGCTTATAAACGCGGCTAACCCACACTGAAGATGCCCACAGAGCAGATGGCCGGTGAAACCAGCGGTGGTGAGGACACCGCTGGACTGAGGGACAGGTAAGTGGCTGTATTTTAAAAGTCAGCAGCTACAGTTTTTGTAGATGCTGACTTTTATTTTTTTTTTTATTCAACTGGAACTCCGCTTTAATGCATGATCTCTATCTGTAGTCTAAGAACTGGCACATCCTGTGATGAAACTAGATATTCCATAATCTCTGGCTTTAACTACTGCTGGTTCAGGTGATATTTATTAAACATGTTGAGTTTACCATGCTGGAAGAGATGTGTTTGTTTCTGAAACATATCACGCACGTCTGATGGAAACCAGAGAAATGGCTAAGGATGAATGTGACCTGGAACAAGTTACTTGTCCCGCTGGTAAATAGAAACAAGATAGGGGGATTAATAAATGGAGATAGGAATAAATCAGCCATGACAATACAGACTGCAGCCAGCACAGCATGCAAGCCCGTCATTACAAGGTATGAAAACAAAAATATACTACAGTTATACCTAGTTAAAATAACATTTGAAAATGTACAGAGCCTTTAAGAATTCTCTCATTCAGGCCATGTACGTTCAGGGATATGTACCTGTACAGATGCCAAATTGGGTGCAGCGTCCATGAAGCCGCTGCATCTCAGTAGACATGAATAGGACTGCCTTCATGTGGATGCATAGATTAACACCTTTCTGCCTGGCCTATCACAGATTGACGGCCGGGCGGGACACTCGCCGTTGTGGCCGCGTGAGACAGGACATCATATGACGAGTGTCCTGCTGTCAATCTGCTATAGGCCGGGCAGGGCACTCGCCTCTGTAACTGGGCGTCATATGACATCCTGTCGAAACGAGCCGCTCACGTGGCCACGGAGCCATGCAGCTGCACGATCTGTCACTGGCTGTGTTCATGGGACACAACTGATGACATATCACTACACCGGCCCATTGCCAGTGTCATGTGACCGCTGTGACCAATCACAGCAGATCACATGTCAATTGTATACAATGGATGGCTTCCTGTTATGCCATCCATTGTATACAATTATGTTGTTAGCTGTGACTGGTCAAGGCAGCCACATGATACAGACAGGGCCAATCAAAGCCTATATGTATCATGTGATCAGCATTGCCCAATCACAGCTAATCACAACAAAAGACTGAATTAATTAGTTTAATTCAGTAACAATGATTGCAAATATCAATTAAATACATTGGTATTAGCAATCATAATAAGTTAAAAAAAAAAATCCTGATCACTTGCCCAGAGTAGTTCAATGTTACTATGGTAACATTGTATTGCTTTGGTCACTGTGCTGAAAAATAGTAAAAGAAAAAAATGTAGTAAAAAAAATAATAGAAAACATTTGAAAAAAAATACAAATTATATTATTATTATTATTTTCACCAAAGAAATGTAGCATAATACATTTTGACTTAAATTTATGAAGAAATGTTATTTATTTAGAAAATTTTATAACAAAAACAAAGAAAAGTGTGTTTTGTTTTTAAAAGTTTCAGGTGTTTTTTGTTTTATTTAGCAAAAAATAAAAAACTCAGTGATGATTAAATACCACCAAAAGAAAGCTCTATTTGTGTGAAAAAAATGCTAAAAATTTCATATGGGTACAGTGTTGCATGACTGCGCAATTGTCATTCAAAGTGCGACAGCGCTGAAAGCTGAAAATTGTCCTGGGCAGGAAGGGGGTAAAAGTGCCCGGTACTGAAATGGTTAAAGCAAAGCCCTTTGTATGGGTGTAAACCTAGGTTAGCCCAAGTGAATGAGGACTAATAAGTCTCAGTTGTCCACAGAGCTTTCTGTATGTGAAGCTCAGATGTTTTTCTCTCTAGAATTTTAAGAATGCATTCTATTGGGGCACATGAAGTTTTGGAGAGTTTCAATAAGGTAAGTATTTTTTTATAATACAACAAACACTTTACTCCTGCGCTAGGAAAGACTCAGTAGACCCAATAGGAATGTTCTGGAATTTTCTGGAATATGCACTGCTTGCTGCCCTCAACAGACCGGGGTGGTCCAAATACACTGGATACAAATGGAGAAACAGAAAAAGGGCGCACCGACCTAGTGCATTATCGTTTAAAATAATTTATTAAAGAAACAAAAATAGGTATCATACTCCCAATGGACATAATAACACAGGCATGTCAAACTGAACAAGGTGTATGATCCAAACAACATCTGAGTCCATACGATGGAACCCTGGATGTGGATGACCAACTGGCTAATGCGTTTCGAGGACACAACCTCTTCCTCAGAACCAACCTTGGTCGGTGCGCCCTTTTTCTGTTTCTCCATAAGTATTTTTTTATGTGTGTGTTGTGTTTTTTTTTCTGGAGTGCTTGCTCCAGTTCAGTGACTACTTTGGTGGTGAAGACAAGATTAGGAAGTCAGCCTTTAAAAAACATTAAGTGCCGGTTCACACTATAGAAACCCAGTCTAGGTATATTCCGGATGCATTTCTTCATGCGTGTCTGTTAGTGCCTGCTGATCTGTGTCAGTGTTGGTAGTGGTGTGTTGTGTTGGATCTGTTACTGTGCGGGATCGCTCTGTTCAGGTGTGTGTGTGTTTTGTCACAACATTTTATCTCCCCCCATTTTTATTGGTTTAAGGAGGTTATTGGTACCTTTTGGTGTTCAGCGGCTCATATAAAGCGCTCACTTCCACCTTTGCATATCATTATCTCCCCCCATTGGCTGGGGAATTCCAGCCTGGGATCTGTCTGAGTGTGGATCCATCATCCTCCACTCACTGTAATTGTCGCCCTTCACTGCCAACCACAGATACAGTCCGTCCATGACACTGATTTTGTCACTGCCCATCCGGCCCATGTACATAAATGGCTGGACGGGAGCAGTGCAGGAGCGGGTTGACGGTCATAAACGGCACCCCACATTTACAGCCTGTGCGTGCTCCCTGGGAGCGCACAGCACCGCAACCCGTGTAGGTGCACAGGGGCATGGGAGCGTAGGTAGGTGATAGACAATAGCTGTAGTCAGAATCAACGTGGGTCAGTGCCCGCTGTGTCCGGAGGACACGGGAACACCGATCGCTGCACGGGGACCTCTGTATGAGGTCCCGATCATGTGATCACTGCTTGGCCAATCAGTGATCACATGAACAGTAGTAAACAAGATGTCACTTGCTGACATCATTGCTTACTACTAGTGAAATATGTGCATGATCACAGAAGTCACATGGTACAAGACTATTCACAACAGCCTTGTACCATGTGACAAGATGTGACCAATCACAGCTCTCACAGTATTTCTCAATGGCTACAAGGATGCAATCAGAGAGAAGGAGAAATGATTGCTTTTACAGCCTTTATGGGTGTAAAAGCAATCAGTGTAAAAAAAAAAATCTTTATCAACCCCACTAGTGGTCACTATGGTGACACTGTACTGCTAGGTGACAGTATGTAAAAAAAAACCACATAAATAATAATATAAAAAAAATAAAATAGAAATGTAAAAAAAAAATTCTAAAAATTATAATTTTTGGTTATAAACTAATTTGGGGTTTTTTTTGGGGTTTTATTTACTAATAAGTTAACTGAATAAATTTTGGCCAAGATTTATGAAGAAAGATTATTTATTTGCAAACTTTTATAAGAAAAACTTTTTTTTTTAATTTTGGGACTTTTTCATTTATATAGCAAAAAAAAATTAAAATCCCAGTGGTAAATAAATACCACCAAAATAAAGTTTTATCTGTCTCAAAAAAATGCTAAAAAAATCATATGGGTAGTGTTGCATGACCGCGCAATTGTCATTCAAAGTGTGATAGCACCGAAAGCTGAAAATTGACACTGGACAGGAAGGGGGTAAAAGTGTCCGGACTTGAAGTGGTTAATATTGGTGCTGGTGGTATCTTTTTGCAAATTAAAAGAAATTTAGCAGTTTCATGTTTTGTTGATTTTTAAAAATGTTTATTTGTCAATTTGGGTTTTTTTTTTGGGGGGGGGGGGGGCGCAAGTAGCTGGTCTTGCCTAGGAAGCAAAATAGTCTAGCACCAGCCATGCACAGAGAGTCATAGTTGTCTGCATTAAGCCTTGTGAGAAGAAAATATTTGTGTTTTACAGGCTAGCTAGGACATGAACAACTATAACGACAGACAAGGGAAGATGGCGTGCATATGGAAAACCACCATAGGGCACGTTTATGAAGCAAATTACGCTGCCTGTCACTTAGGCAAGAGATTCCCAATGTCTGTAACAAATGTATTACTAAAGATGAGACAAATTTGCACTCTAAACAGATACATAATTCAAACGTAGTCAGGCTCAGGTTTCATTTAGTTGCAGCGTGACTTTAAAGAAGCCCATAGAGGAAATTTATGACTCAAGCTGTAACCTTTTAATAAATCTGTTGCACGACCTGTCTTGCTGCTGCTGTTTAACAGACCTTGCTGTGACTCAGGGGCCAATTCACTAAGAGTTAAATAGTGCAAGAATATTTGGGTTAACATAACTCATGCGGTATCTTAGATTGTACACCCCTTGAGGGTTAGGGACTGATGTGAATGTACAATATATATGTAAAGCGCTGCGTAAATTGATGTAAAAGCCATAAATAAATATTTTTATCTCATGACCATGCAATTCACAAAAAAACACATGCTAAATACCACGTGTTACATTTTTTATTTTGCAGTGTTTAACATGTTTTTTGCACCTTATTTTAACATAGACCCGATCTCTGACTGCAGTGGGAAATTAAATATTTAGCAATGATATTTCTACCACTGCTAAATGTGACAGTTCAGCTCAGGGCTGCTGGTTGGTAAAGACACGGCAGGTGCCAGTTTCTTAACAAGCAGTGACTCATCTGCTGTCAGCCAAGGATTCCCCGCTGACAGCAAAACATAAACAAAAGTCCAGACAGTAAAAAGAAAAAAAAAAAGTGTGCAGTTCCCCCCTACAATCCATTTTAGGCCTTTTATTTATTTATTTCAGGTAGTTATATAGTGCCATCAATTTATGCAGCACTTTACATATATATTGTACATTCAGCTCCAGTTCCCCAGTGTAAGAGAGCACGATACAATGACTGTGAATTCTGGGATACATGATATCACCCATAGGCTCCCATGGCCCAGTTGTTGTCAGTGGTCCTTCCTCTATCCCTCAGCAGCTGCTCACTGACACAGGAAAGCCAGAGCTACATGATCACTTATTTATTATTACAGGTACTTATATAGAGCCTTCAATTTACTCAGCTCTTTACATACAGTGTACATTCACATCAGTCCCTAACCCTCAAGGAGCGTACAATCTAAGGTCCCTAACTTACATTCATACATACACATACTGGGGCCAATTTAGACAGGAGCCAGTTGACCTTCCAGCGTGTCTTTGGAGTGTGGGAGGAAACCAGAGTACCCGGGGAAACCCACGCAGGCACAGGGAGAACATGCAAACTCCAGGCAGGTGGTGCCGTGGTTGGGATTATGAACCAACGACCACTTAGGCACTGTGCTGCCCTTTTCAGTCTGGTATGAAATCTAAGGGGGGCCCAATGGCATGAGATGCCCCCAAAAGCCTTACAAGACCCTTGTCTGAGAATGCAGCCTGGCAGGTCAGTAAAGAGGGAGGCACTCCTGAACCATTACAGGCCACATGCCTTCAACATGGAGAGGGTACTTTGCCCAGGCAGGAGGGGACCTGGCTTGGTTTGGTTCTCTTCGCAGGTTGTTAAAGATATGGCGAGTGTTGGCTCTTTAACAATCAGCTATTATTTTATTACATTCATTAAATAGCATGTGACTAGACCACAACTTATTAAAAAACCACATGCCTACTAGGCATTTTTACCCCCTTCGTATCCAGGCCAATTTTCAGGTTTCTAGCGCTGTCGCACTTTGAATGACAATTGCGCGGTCATACAACATTGTACTAATAGGACATTTTTATCATTTTTTTCACACAAATGGAGCTTTCTTTTAGTGGTATTTAATCACCAATGGGTGTTTTTTATTTTTGAACTATAAACAAAAAAATAGCAAAAATTTTGAAAAAAAAAAAAAAAAAAAAGTTTTCTTTGTTTCTGTTATAAAATTTTGCAGACAAGTTATTTTTCTCCTTCACTACTGTGCGTTGATGAAGCTGCACTGATAGGCAGCACTGATGGTCACTGATAAGGTGGCACGGATAGGCTGCACTGATGAGGCGGCACTGGTGGGCATTGATGAGAAGGCACTGATGATGCTGCACTGATATGCAGCAATAATGGACACTGATGGGTGACGCTGACTGGTGGCACTGACTGGCGGCACTGCTGGGCTCTGATGGGTGCAATTGCTGGGCACTGATGGGCGCAACTGCTGGGCAGCACTGCTGAGTGGCACTGCTTGGCACTGCTGGGAGGCATTGCTGGGCACTGGTGGGTGGCACTGCTGGGCACTCATCAGGGCATTGATCATCAGTGCCTTGATGATTAGTGCAGATCTCCTCTGTGTCATTTGCCGGTTATTGGCAGTACTTTCCTCACGCTGTAACATCGTGAGGAAAGTACAGCAGACAACCAGCAACTGTATTTACTTGGTGATCTGCTGTGTTATTGGACACAGCTGAAATAGTGGTAAATAGCCGTGGTAAATAGTCCATAGGACACAGCAATCACGGACAGCGCAGGGTGCACGCTGCTGGGGGTGCGTTCTGGGAGGACGTCATATGATGCCCTCCCAGAACTGGCCAACCACGCTGTAGCCGTCGTTCGACTATAGTATGGTTGGCAAATGGTTAACAAATGTATTTGTTCACTTTTTTAAGTGAATTGACTTTTATATCTGTTTATGTAGTATTTTCTGTGTTTGTTATTTTTGTGGCAAATACCTCAAAAGCAGATAGTGAATTCACTTTTTCAATGTGACATGCAATATTTGGATCAAATGAGTCATGTGATCCAAATATTGCATGAAATATCCTTTAGTGAATTGAACCCACAGAATTGATAGATGCCCCCCCCCCCCCATGTCACTAAGGGGTTTATTTACTAAAGCTGGAGAGTGCAAAATGAGTCTCACTTCTATATAGAAACCAATCAGCTTTCAAGTTTTATTTCCAAAGCTTAATTGAACAAGCTGAGGTTAGAACAGCAATGGGCAAACTGCGGGCCGTATACGGCCCGGCGGACCTTTTAATCCGGCCCGCGGAGCGTGATAAAAAAAAAAAACAGCCAGGGCAGGCAAACATTGGCTGTCAGGATGTGTGTAGGCGGGGCAGCGTGACGAACGTGAGGGGAGCTATGCTCCTCTCACAGTCTGCCCTGAAGACCAGAACGGCGCGGGAACTCGGCGAGAGGAACGCGCGGAGCAAAGGTAAGCAAATTGACACAGAGGGGACTTGGCTTACTACTTGGGGGGGAATAGTACTATGGGGGATGAAATACTATATGAGGGATGAATTAATATGGGGGATGAATTACTATATGGGGGATGAAATACTGTATGAGGGATGAATTAATATGGGGGATGAATTAATATGGGGAATGAATTACTATAGGGGGATGAATTACTATAGGGGGGATGAATTACTATATGGGGGATGAATTACTATGGGGGATGAATTACTATATGGGGGATGAATTACTATGGGGGATGAATTACTATATGGGGGATTAATTACTATAGGGGGGATGAATTACTATGGGGGATGAATTACTATATGGGGGATGAATTACTATGGGGGATGAATTACTATGGGGGATGAATTACTATATGGGGGATTATTAATTACTATGGGGGATGAATTACTATATGGGGGATTAATTACTATGCTTACTATGGGGGAATATTACTATACTTACTATGGATGGCATGGTAGTGTTTAAATTAATCTAAACTTTTAATGTTACAAATTTTAATTTAATTTATATTAATTCACACATACACAACATTCATCTACTCTTGGTCCGGCCCCCGGGTCCAATATATGAACCCATTGCGGCCCTCAAGTCAAAAAGTTTGCCCACCCCCTGGGTTAGAAGCTGATTGGTTTCTATGCAGAAGTGAGCCTGATTTTGCACTCTCCTGCTTTAGTAAATAAACCCTTATAAGTCTTACTGCATTATTATTAAATACAAGATTTGGACTTTACATCATTTTGGAAAAGTCACAATTAGCATGCTTAAAAAAATCAAACTGTTTCAAAAGGAGTTAACACTGAACTCTCTGGAGAAAACAAAATCCACCCTTACAGCTAGGCTGCTTGTGCAATGCAAGAGTTAAATGTTCGTTTAGGTCAAAAAAGCATTTTTATTTATCCAATCATCTGCACCCGCAGGCTCTTCCAGGTTGTAAGACCAGAATCTGCAGGCTCCTGTCTTCTTTGTTCCTGTGGTCAGATACTCTTTCACATCATCAAGACCCATTTAGCTCATAGCCCTACTTTGGATGTAAGGATGCCGAGAGACAGTCTACTGCAGGAGAATAGGGGATTTGATTGCCGGTGGGGGGAAAGGATTGAAAGAAAAGAAATACACTGATTTTTGCAGCCCCTTTGGAGCTAAATGAGCATTTAATCAATAAAGTGCGGAGGTAGCTCCACTTGAACAGGTATATAGGCTTTTAAGTGTACTAAACCCACAACAGTAAAATCAATCTGTATATGCAGTAAAGCATGCTTGTTATACTCACTGAGGAATCTAAGGGGTTAATCCTCTGCATTGTGTAAAAATGTTGTTTGATCCTGACTTCTCTGATCCTCATCTTCTTCCAGTGTACCCCTCTTATCGCCTGAGTCATTCTGCACATGCTCAGTTTGGTGTGTATTGCTGGAGATATTTTTTTTTTCTTGGGAGAGTGCACGTGATCAGCACAGAGCCAATCAGCACTATTCAGACAGAAGTCAGGGGTTCTGCATATTCCTACACCAAAATGAAAACTACTCCTACAAGCTTTAACGTACTCTGTGGGACACTGATAGAAGTCACATGACTGCTGTAACTGCTAATGACAAAAGGTATTTAGCAGTTTATATTTATTAAAATAATTGCATTTCCATGTTGTGTGTACTGTGGGAGACCAGATATAGTGAATGCAGGGTCCTGCGTTTAGTAACACTTTAATGATGTGGTCAATGGTTATCTGGTATATAAAATGGCCCTTTCTCGCTTTCATGGGATGTTTGTCAATTTGTTTTTTAACTAAATTTGTTTTAGTTCCACATCTCAACGTTGCATATATATTGTTACATTTTTGTATGTATTTCTTAAGATTTTCTAAGTAAACAGTTGAAACAAATGTAAAAAGTGCCATGCCTCAATATAAAGGCTTGTGTTGGAACCATGAAAGGTATTTGCTCAATGTACACCAAGCAAAGAAAAGAAAACCAGGTTCAATAAAGAGCAATGAAAAAGAAAACGTGGTTTTGTAATGCAGTAGATCAGATTTTGTACATGTCCACTGCTGGTGTAGGGACAGGTGTCATTTGTACCTCTGTCTCCCAGGAATGACCTCACTTGACAGTACCATTGTTCCTAGATGCTTACAGCCCATATGACCTGCTCTCTATGGCAATTCCACAAATCATGGATGATCACTTAATCCAAAGGAAGAGATATTCCAATGAATTAGAAGAACAGCCCTCCCAGCTGACTATCGCCAATAGATAGTTATGCATTTTGTAAAAAAAAAAAACCTTAACGAGAAGAGGAATGAAAGCAAACAAAAAGAAAGATAAAAAAGAAAATGCTAAAGATGTTATTGGTCTCAGTTGGAACCCACGATTTGTTGATTCAAGGCACACAGATAAAAGGAATTCAAGACTAAATTAACCTACACTTCTCCTGTACTTGAATTTTTACATTGCCAGTGGTATGAAATATCTCAAAATTCTCTTTTTCATGGCAGGACTAGAAACTGCAGTTTATAGATAAATGGATGATCTGGGAGCATCCACACCATATATTACTAAACGCACCATTCCAGCAGATGGTAGGGAACTAAAAAACATTAATTTTAGTCATTTGGCCTCATCTTTACATCACAAGTAATAACCCAAGAATATATGTCTTTTTGCAATATATTTCAAAACTGAGAGGTCTCTTCAGTTTGGATGTATCAGGTAGAAGGATTTATTCAGTGATTATAAGTGATTATACTCCCAAATGTTGGAGATGTGGGAATAGTCCTTTTTATTTCTATACAAAACACATATTTCCTGGTTGTAAATGAGTTGTGAATGAAAATCTGAGCTGATTGGTGATATTACTGGCCAGGGAAATGAACTACATATAAATATATTTGTTCAAACAAAATGCAAAGAAGCATTGTTTCCAAGCTTTCATTTTGTAGATTTCATAATTTCATTTCATTTTCATAATCTATATGCATTATCAATTTTACTACATTCATATGACGCAAACTAACTGTCTAAATGGTAAAAACAGAATGAAAATGCAATCTCTCTCAAGGTTGAGTCAAAAACTATTCCAAATTTAGAAAGGTCGTTCAGCAGAATTAGGGCAAAGCATATCCTGGTGGACCCTAGTTCAGACACTTTAATAGTCATATTCCAGAGAGCTATTAGAAATTAGAAGACAAGTCGCTAGGTATCTGAAGGAGTACAGATGATGGTATGTCAGGAAGAGTGCATTGTGTATTTTAAAGATAAGAATGCTTTGTCTTCTTAAGTACAAACAGAGAGCTTGATTCAAGTAGTAAAATATTTCTCTACAGCTTGCTAAATAATATAGAGCCTTATTTAGCATAAAGCATTTGTTTTTAAGGTGGAAGGACAGTAAAATATTAACTATGCCTAAACCTGCTTGCACCTCCTTTCTAAGCCTATCTAGTTGCTTATGCTGGGGCGATTACATTACCCATAGGCTACTATGGGATATCCATTGTCAGCTCTCCTTCCTCTACAGTGAAGACGGAACTGGGACCCAATCATGTGACCAGACCGGAGCGGCCTCAGAATAGATACTGTAAGTATACACACTTTTCCTTTCACAGGGTAGAATAGGCTAAATAAAGGGAGTGGGGGCAGGTTTAGGATTAGTTAATATTTGACTGACGTTTTACTTTAAGTGCAGAATCTTAAGATCAATAAACTATAGCATCCTTTCAAATTTAATCCTAATTCTAAAAAGACATGCATAGTCCCTCTTGCTAAAATAACAAAACCAAAAAAAACCCTTTCCATTGGCTCTTTGCAATTAAAGTGGTTGTAAAGGCAGAAGGTTTTCATGAATTCTATGCATTAAGGTAAAAAACCTTCTGTGTGATGCTCCCCCTACAGCCACCCAATACTCATCTGAGCCCCCTCATAATCCAGTGATGTGCACAAGAGCCTTGGCTGTCCCCGAGACTCCCTCTCCATTGCCATTGTCTCCCACTGCTGTCAATCACAGCCAGTGAGCCAATCAGGAGATAGTGGGGATGGGACCAGGTCACTGCTCTGTGTGTCTTTTGGATGCTTAGAGCTAGGCTTGAGAGTAAGCATGCACCAGTGCCCCCATAACAAGCAGCTTGCTATGGGGAGCACTGTTCAAGGGGAAGGAGCCAGGACCATCGGAGGATTGGGTCTGCTCTGTGCAAAACCACTACACAGAGCAGGTAAGTTTAACATGTGTGCTTTAAAAAAAAAAAAAGCTGAATCTTTAATACCACTTTAAAGAGTTCTGACCTTTCATAGCTGTAAGAGTGGAAACCTGCCAGGTAAGTGCACCATATTGTACAAGTATGCTTGAACTTATGTGATTTTATTCCACTTTAATGGTCTAAAAGCAAGGCTGCTAATTAACTTGTCCAGTAAAAAGTCGGACAGCAGTACTTTATACTTTGGTGTATCTAGAGGGAACTAGGTGATTTAACAGAAAACCTTGATCCCTTTCGTCTTTGTACCAAGGTTTTTGGAAATTTAACAGGGTACAAACTGCCATTTTGGGAGGGTTACCAAAGAAAAAAAGGTCTAAAATGAGTGCTTTATATCCTAGAAAGCATATCCAACAAATTAATAATGCAACCTTCAGGTACTTTATTTTCAATGTATTATAGCGTATACATAGTCAAAATTGTTATTTTTAGCTTTGCAGAGGCCCGTTTGGGACATTTTCCCTCACTTCTTATATTAAAGATGCGTGAGAAGAATTTCCTTCTTAGACAGATGTCCCTTTAACAGGTTAGCCCATCTGAACATTTAACCTCTATATTTTTTGTCAGTGATAATGGTTGCCAGGACAGATAGACAGTAAATCTACATAGCAGGTGAACACATGGAGAAAAAAAAAATTGCTTGTCTGATCGTTAGTATAGTGGTTTTAACAGCCAGTTCCAACTTTACGGATGACAAAAACCAAGGGTGCAATCTAAAATTATTTTATCATACGTGAACACGTCTGATTTTTGTTTAATGTATCCAGTAATCGTACAGAAGTAATCAAATAGAAAAAACTGCAAATAATCAGAAGCATAGAATAACACTTCCTCTTCTACTACGCTAGTACATAGCTATGTTTTGCCTTTGTTGGTTGAGAATTTCCCTAGGTTAATACTATTATTGGTTACATCGTGATACTCACCTTCATGGAAAATCGGACAATCATTTGTCCAATTTTCTCATAATATGTACAAGGCTTTACAGTTTAAGAAGTGGAAGTACAGATTTTCTCATTGATAGTGTCTATCTGAATAAATCTGGTAAGAGATGTAATTGGGACCAATAAGAAAATAGCTCCATGTTTTCATACTTTCCACATAATTTTCTTCTTGGTTTGATAATATTAGATACAGTTTTCTGGCTAAATTTGCATTCTTAGGGCTACAAACACAATCACCTTCCAAGCCAAGTGTTCTGCAGCTGGGTTTCCTAAAAATTCCCTTTACTGTCTGGAGAGTATATATAATATTGTTCATTTTCTGTTCTCTGAGGTTGAAATGCTTTGCAGATGCTGAAATTAACTCTCAAGATCTTGTTTAGTTGGTAGGGCTTTAAAGTGACTGTGTCACTGAATTTACAAAAATTAGAAATAGATCATATGCAAAAGAAGACTGTTTATATTTACGTGTCTCATCATCTTTTACACCGATCTTTTATTGCATAACTACAGCCTTTTCGCATCCAACATTTTCAGCTGTGTTGGATACCTAGTCCACTACTCCGCACTGTGGTTCAATCCTCCAGCCCTTATTTCAGTACAAGACATAATAGTGGCATGGTGCCATTTCCAGGTGTGTCAAAGGCCTGGTCTACCATTTTTCATTGTGGTTCCTTCTGTTGGCACCTGTGTTCCGTAGTGAGCAAGGGACTGCAGCATCCAACACTCTTAGAAGCGTGGAATGCAAAAGATATTTGAGCAAGCTTCATTTTAGGTCCCAGAGGTGTTCAGCAAAATGGGCTGGTAAGTCTTATTTACTTTCTTTGCTGGGAGGACTGCTTTCAAGCTTTACAAAAGTATTAGAGACTCTTAAAAATCTTCTGTTGTCTTTAGGATGAATTCAGTCAATGACCCTGGAAGCTGCAATTAACTTGGACTAGATCATGGCCTGTGGTCTAGTCTTATCCAGCTTTAGTAGACATCCTATTTCTGCCTACAGAGTGATTGCCTGAATCTTCTTGTGTGTGCCTTTCCTAAAGCATTTCTATGTGTTTACTTCACTATATTAAAAGGTATGAAATATAGAGTTCCTGAGCCTAATAGAAGAAAACACTTCACAATCTGTTCAAGGACATTTATATGTAGAATACTGGAAACATCTACTAAAGTGGAGATTTCATATT